TTGTTTTTACTGTTCTGCTTTTTGCAATTGGGGTGTTTTGTTTCTTGGTTAGTATGACGAGTAGTTTAAAATGCGTATGTAGTTCAGACTTTACCCAATATCTTAGCAGTAACCGTTAGCTATTAACGTAGCAACGAATGATATCTCATGATTCAAGCAATAATGATCCCGTCTTCTCAATCAGGACACCTAACTACTTATCCAATCATATAAAGAGTCCCGATTCGGGCATACACACATAGAGACCGGCCCCATCTAGCCTTACCTGGTACCTGCGCCCGATGCTGTAGCTAATAGGTGCATCTCTGCAGAGCGTTGAAGCAAAAGCACAACTTTCCTGTCACGTATGCCATTGGACTGTCAAGTGCTGACCTGTTCACGAGTCACGGCAAAGCGTGGTTGAGGGATTGGTTCATGAGATCCAATGATTGATGGCATTGACAGCCACATTCTTTTCTTTACAAATGGCCCCCACGAATAAAGTCACCATTCAGGTATTGACAGTATAACTACCTAATAGTCAGCTGGAGTATGTAGACCTGTCTCTGACCTACATCTACATACTCAACTTAGCTACATGTGGCTACACAGCTGCTCTGGGAATGTATGTAATCAATAAGTGCCGGACAATCACAATGCAAGTAGGTTCTTGTCCCACCAGCTATGCTATGCATTGTAGCTAGAGTAGCTAACTACATAGTACCGACATACTCGACTATTACCTCCAATGAGGAAAATTCGATAAAAAGACTTGCATTGGACGGTATTTTTGAGTATATCCCACAGCTACCGTAACCCCAAGGCGTATGTAGAGTAGTTACTTGCATGATTAAGGTAAAGTACTATATATGTATGTGCACATAATGTGCACATACCTACATACCTTTTGCTCAATATGCAGAGTAGGGACAGCCTTACTGAGGTTCTCATAAGCTTATACCAAAGATCCTAAGACATAGCTACCTAGTTAGTACCTGATGTTCCTGACACGTAGGTGTCGACTGTCTGATCATGACTGATCGCGAAAAAAAATTTAAAGGCAGTGGCTCGATCTGGGATCGGGGGTGAGTGAGTACCTGCATAGTCATACTCTACTCTAGGTAGTTTACTCTGGATACCCCACAATATCTCCCCATGAGGCATGTATAGTTTAGTCAGTCATATCATACTGCCTCCATGCCGGCAAGCCTTATCCTTATAATACTATCATGATCATCATCAGACAAGCCTAAGCTGTATAATATCTCGATACGAGTTTTTCTAATATACCTCCTAGGCAGTTACCCATGGCCAGCTAGGCTTTCCCTACACAACGAGCTGCTGCAAGGACAGCCGGATCTCTAAAGCCCAGTTCTAGAGCGGATACAGCATGCCATATCATGACACCCAGCAGAGTGCATTAGTTACTCCCGCTGGGTGCTGCTCCCCAAAGCCTCACTACCACAACCTCACGATCATTATTAACCCATGTCTCCGATTACAAACAAACCCAGTAGGATGCATTCCACCATTGCAAGCATACCCCCAGCTAGCTGAACTCCCCCCATGCGCAGCGACCTGAGGAAAACGTGGCCCCGGCCAGACCGATCATTGAGCTGTCTGCCTGTCTGTATGTTCTGTTCTGATTGCATGCATCTCCAATCACGCTATTGTCACAGGATATCACCCGCCTTGTCCGCCTATTAACGCGCGATTACTGACTGTGGTGGTGCATGTTGTCGGTACTACTATTTTGGTTGTGTACTAACCTAGCCTGTGCCTGCAGCGCTAGGTAGAGTAGATCAACCACAACCCACAACCACAACCAAGCTGATCCAGCCAACTAACAGCACTAAAGCGGCCGGGCGTCTCCCTCTAGGTGCAGTCACGTAATTCTTCGAGCCCGTAACGTAACTCTTCGATCATACTCCACTCGCGGGGGAAAGGAGAGGGGGGAGCTGAAACCAATTGAAACGACAGCTGCTGTGCTTGCTTACTGCAGTCCTTTTTTCGTTTTCGTCTGATGCAACACCCTCCTCACTCTGCCCCCCCCCCCCCCCCCCCTCTCCCTCCCTCCCTGGCTCCTTGCCTTTTCCGAAAAGAAAATAAAAAAAAAAAAAAAAAAAAAAAACTGAACTGAACTGAACTGAACTGAACTGAAATTGTGAAACGATCGTGGAACAGATAGAGAGCGGGAAAGACAGAGGTCTCTCCTACTTCCTCGGAGTCGAAGAGTCGCGATCGGGGCCCTAATTTCCCTTCCTTGTTTTTATGATGATAATAACAATTATTATTTATGTCTTCCGCTACGCTTCTACTCTACGTATGCCTACCCAACCAGGTAGGTACAGTAGTAAAATAGTCTCAAACAACCCAGCCAGTCGGCCAGCCATTCCCGCGCAAAGGAAGCGCTAATTAACCCACAACAACAAGAGAAAGAGAAACCCGGGACTGAGACAGGGCGGGATCTCGGAACGGGGCGATGATCATGACGTTCCCACGTCCAAGGCAGGGCAGGGGGCTATCAACGTAAAGTAAGGGCCGGCTGGGTGGTGGTTTTGTCGGTTGGTTGGTCTTGGCCGAGGAGGAAACGGGATGTGGGGACCTTCTGGAAGTGGATATGATTATCGATCGTCAAGAGTTTGGTTTTGAGCCCTAACCCACGGAACATCTATCCATGGGCCCGTGAGACTGACTGTAAATCTTCAACTACACTGCTAGTAAGTAACTGAGTCCCGGGTTCTACCCCATCTAAGCCCTAGTCTACATGCAAAACCGATATATATGGAACCTTCTATATCAAGAATCATAAGAAAAAGAAGGTGCTTTTGGAATGTGCGGCCGCTGGGAGGTACACTGTTCAGGATTGCGACATCACCAAGCTTAAGTCCAAGCCTTATCAAACTAACCCCCGCCCCCACTTGGTCATGTGGGTATGTAGAGATCACGGAGATCTATATCGTACTCTACCGTGGCGGGGTGCTTTCGGAATCTGCGGCCGCTGCAGATTTAGAACTGAGTGAGTGTGAGAGTGAGTGAGAGAGAAAGACTAGTTGACATGATGTATCACGGAGATTTACCTGTTCCATATATCAAAAGTATATGCGGCCGCTAGAGAATGTCGGCATATTCGAAGTCAATACCTACATGCGTCAAGCTGGTAAACATGTCGATTCGATGATTACCGCCCTGAGTAAGACTCTCAGGTCCGCAATCCGGTCCTGTATCTTGGTACTTGTGTGTCTCCGCAATATTGTCCACGGGTCCAAATGATTACCTCTAGCTCTGAGCATGAGTCCAAGTGCAAGTACATACTTAGTGTAGTGAGACCTAGCTAGCTGGAATATTGGAGATGATGTGCAATCTTTATAAGTTATTCTGCAACTAGGGCATATCTTACTCGAGTCTCCAAATAACCTCTTCATCTGCAGCTATGGCCATGACCCGCATATAGTGTAGCTGAGTAGTACCTATGATGAGGTACAATTAGTACCAAACTAATCGGGACATCAGCTTACATTCTTGGGCCAGAAGTTCGAAAAATAATCCCAGGGTTAGGTTTTCCAACCCAGAATCCCCAGAGCCACCTCGAACCAATTGCAGCATCTGAGATACGGCACCGATCAGGACAGGGCACCAGAGACCACTCTCGATACAAGAACACCCAGATATATCGAACGCCACACAACCCACCCCTAACCCTCCGTCCAGGTAGAGCTTTGAGCGCAGCATCCAGTCCCATCCTGCCTGAGCTAGAGCAGCCAATAGCAGACATATACAAAGAAACCGTCTAATTCCATAACAGGATAATATTCCGAAACCCCATCACCAGTCCGGGCACAGAACAGCAGCTCCCAGCATACATATATACCCCTAACCCTGAGCCCGAGTACTCTACCTACGCCTAGCTCAGCAGCACCCACATAACCCCCACCAGTTCAAGACACCCCGCCATGCATGTTACACAACACCGGTTCTGGTGTGGTGGTGCACTGGTAACGGGTGGGGTTGTAGGTTTAGGGTTCCTGGCCACCGCGGACACCTCGAGCTCGACCACGATTATAAGGTGGTCTTAGTAACGCTGTCCACAGTCTAGCCTATCGAGACGTGTCACGTTTATATGTATAAGACTCGATAGGCTTTCATCCTCCTTCGTAATAGAACATCTATCCTATTACCTATTGAGTCTTCGTACAACGACCCTATAGAGCTGGCTAGCTACTGCGGAGATATTCAGCCATCCACAGAGGAGTCATGCAAGTACATGTAGCTAGAGGTCCAGCTAGCTAGCTACCAAGAAGCATAGAATACCGTGGTTAACACCCGGCCCGTGCCTCTCTGTATAATATGCAGGAAGGTAGAGTACCGGCGGTAGGTACGGTACCTACATACCTGCACCACGATCATTGGCTTCAGAAAAGACGACCCGCTCTACATACATGGACGTATACGCAAGCTCACCAAAACTACCGGCTTAATTCCTTAATGGTCAGGACGAGAAAGGCATACGAAATATGCTGCAAGTGTACAGAGCGTGTGCGTGCCTTCATGGCCGCTCACTCATCACGCACAGCTACGGGCATTATGCGTGTGTGAAGTGTTCTTGTCAATGACACAGTTCACTCCACTACATATCGCCCATTGACCCCACGGCAATCCAGAAAGTCCTTTTAACATTGGATTTGTTCTGTCTTCACCTTCACACTGGAGCCCGAGAGGGATTGGAGCGGTTGTTAGCCTTTGGAAGATGTGGTAATATTCTCTATCTTGCGATTAGAGTAAAGAAATGTAGCAACTAGATAAGTCCCCTGCACCCCACCCCACCAACCCCCCTGAAGACCCATCCCTATGCGTATGTATACAATAAATAATAAAAGAAAGTATTTAGTAAAACCGAAAAATGAACCCATCAGCAGAAAGGTATCCACATTGCGAAAATCATAAAAAAGACATTACGCCCAATCCTCCGTCCCAATATAATCAAACCCAAACCATAATCAAAATAAGAAGAGAAACACCCACTAATCCCTGCCCGCAGTAATCGGCCTCAACTCACTCTCCGCAACCTCCACCATAGCCTCCTTCCTACCCATCACCACCGCATCTCTCCCCGCCCCATGATCCGCGCCAAACCTCGAAAAGATGCTCCTCTTCTTCGGCCTTGCCGCCTCATCCGTGAGCTTCACCTCCTCGAACGCATCCTCCAGCGTGCTCGAGAAGCCCGGGCCCCTCCTCAACGGCCGCTGGTCCAACGACAGCCGCGCCGACGGCTGCACATCGAGCGACGCGCGCGAAGGGCGCACATCGAGAGACGCGCGAGTTGTCGGGCGCACATCCAGCGACGCGCGCGTAGCGGGCCGCAGGTCGAAAGAGCCCCGGGACGGCGCAATGTCCGTGACCGGGGAGCGCGCGGAGATGTCGAATGAGCGACGGTAGCACTCAAAGGACTCGCGCGGGATTACAAATTGCTCCTCTTCGGAGGGTGGGGTCCGGACTTTGGAGCTGTGGGAGGAGCTTTCGGATTTCTTCCAGAAGCTCTTCTTCTCCGGGGGGGAGGGGGGAAGGTAGACTCCGCTGTCGTTTACGACTATAGGCGGGCGGGTTAGTGTGATTGCTCTCTTTTTAATTTTTTGAAAAAAGTGAGGTTTCAGTATGGTGCATTGATATCCCCCCCACCCTCTTCCGTCACTGGAGTTTGTGCGAGGTGGGGTTAGATGGAGCAACAGCAACACCACGAAAAAAAAAAAAGCAATGATAATGATGCCGGAAGCAAGCTACATACCACTCAACTTGTACCCCTCATCATCTGCCTTTGGAATGCTGATCGCGCTTACACTACCCTTCGGCTTTGACCCAGCCAGAGTAGTCCTCGGGCGCGCATTATCCTCGTATCCGAGCGAGACCTGCGACTGCGACTGGGAAAGATTCTCGGTGATTACAGAGTCGGAGGAGACATTGTTGAAAGCTGTGGTAGTGGTGGTTGGAGGAGCAGCGGGAGTCCTGCGGAAGGGGTTACGTATAACCGGCATATTGATTGGTAGGAATAATAGGTGAGGTATAGATAGGTATTGGAATGTTTAGAAAAAGATGTTTTGACAGTGGATGGAAGGGAGGGAGCGAGCGAGGGAGGGGTTGTGTTTGCTTTGGAGCGAAAGAGAGCTGAATGGATGGAGGCTGTTTTGGGCACTCTTGGTACTGGGCAGGATCAATAATAGATTGGTAAGGAAGACTGCACTTCCAAGCAAAGATCGAGACAAGGCAAAAGAAGGAAAGAGTGAATGTATGTGGTGGGTATGAGTACTTCAACAACGATAGAGACAGCACCGGCAGCAACAACAGCCCATCATCTCACCAGATAGATGCCTGTCCTCCTTCCAAGTTATGTATGTATTTGCATGGGTCTAACGGAAGCTCCAAAATCCGAACGAGCGAAAAGAACCAAAGAAAAATCAGTTCGTTCGCATATACCGGCACTCCCCGGCGGAGTTGAACCATCCCGAGGCTGTTTTTTTCTCTGTGAGGGGAAGAAGAGGACCCTTCTCCACAGATCAGCTCCGCCTTTCTGCCCTTCTTCATCCGCCGCCCCGGAAGCCGGTTTGGAATGGATGCACAAGGTGGTTTCCTTCTTCGGTCAGTTGTACTATGCCTTAGGGCTGGCCGGAAACCGGATACCCGTGAATCATCAGTTTTGCCGACGTTCTGTGCCTAATCCATCTCGGACTTTTTTTTTTTTTTTTTTTTTGCTGAAGAGCGTGTGCTTTAGCTGCTGCTGCATGTAAATATTAGTAAACGTAAGTAAGGTACTTATATAAGTAAGGTAAATTGTAAGGGTTCTTCGAGTGAGTGCCTTGCATAAAGATTCAAACGGGCGAAGAGCTTTTGAAAAGAAAAAAAAACTTCTTGTGGTATGTGCATGCATTTGGATAAATCGATTCAAGCCCTCTTCGTAACCAGACTACATACAGTACCTACTCTAGAGTACATGCATGTACTCTAGGTATAGTAGAAGTCATATGCCTGCCCGGCGCCCGCCAGCAAACAACAAACGAGCTTCATGTATGTGCTTTGCCTAGCTGCTCGAAAGAGAGGCAGGAAAAACATACATACAGCACATGTTTCGGCCGCGGGTAAGGCTGATGAGGAATGTGAAGCACATATTTACCGGTAGAATATATTCCTGTCATGCCGACATGAGCACCTTTACCTTTACCTAGGTATGCTCGTGTCTCGTGCATTCAGAGCCCGAGTCATTTCCCATGACCTCCACGATATCGGTTGAGAGCATGGCAGAGCCTCCACCTAGATGCCACCCAAGGCCACCAAGTCTTATCTGCCGGTAATCGGACTGTAAAAAGGAAAAAGGGTTCAGGGCCCGCCGGCCAAAAGCTCGGTATATCTCTAGCGCTAGGAAAATAAAGAAGTGTTCTAGAAGCGAGATCTACTACTACTTCTAGATCTAGGAATCGGGATTGCATTGGTGGGTGTGGCAGAATTCGACTCCTCTTCTAGCTAGTGGGGTGCATAATTGTGATATGCATTCTCTACCTAGTAGTTTTCAGGAGTAGAGCAGAGCCCCGATTTTTTTTGTGAAGCGAATAGTACGTGATTCTACAACAAAAGTTTGGATTGCTACTGATATAAAGTCGAAGAGCAAAGTTAGTAGACTACATGTATTAATCTCAATATTCCATTCCATTCTCGCGCTCGGCTGTTGAACTCTATTAATACCGGCGCCAAACTGACCATTCCTTTAGGCCCATTCATATCATAATATAAAAAACCATCTTATTAGACCAAGATAGAACGGATTATCATTTAACCTCGATCGCGGATTGCTGCATAGCGATAGTTGAAACGATTCTAGGCTCTGGCCGAATTTAGGTTTTTGTACTTCCTGACATGTGATGGTAACATCCTACCAACCAGCTAGGCGCCTTGGTAAAGGCTGGGCAGTTGAGTGATCATTGACACTTTAAACTTTGCCCGCCCCCGCGGATCCATTCCAGTTAACATTTTTACACTTCTATGTACGTTATATTAAGCACACACACAGGCCTTGTATGTAATTTCTTGATGCACCTATCCTGTTGCAAAGATACATGTAGCCCTTTTAATAGGTATGTCGTGGTTCTACGAAATTTGATCCGCGGGCTGATGCCCCGCGGTGGAGTTGTTTGGAGTCATTGGATGAAGGTAGGTACATACTGGGTAGATAGGAAAAGTATTACAACCATCACACTATTATAGCGAGTATCGGCTAATTAGTATACGAGTTGCGATATTGATCTGGGAGCCGAACGTGCTATTCTACTCATGTACCGTTAATTCTCGAGAAATCCACTATCTCCGCTTGGTTAAATCTTAATTCCGGGTAGGGAAAAGTGTGTATCTACACGAATCCGTGAAGTTTGATACGCCAATTCGCCTTTGCCCGGACTTACCACATACAAATACGGAGCTAGTGGATTTTTCGAGAATTAACGGTACTTGTAGAGTAGGGCTTTGAGCCACTTTAGTCCATAACATCTTAGATTAGATTTTTCTATACTCACGTTTTGGGTTTATGTAAGTACCTAAATTCTGTTGTAGCAACCGATTTATTGGTCCGATTGGGCCAATATCTAGGTTACTAGGGGATAGTACTGGTAGCGATCCTGATGCTTGGTGTGCAGGCGCAGAAAGCCGGCCTCAAACTATGTATCTCGAGTACCAGAAACAATAGAGAATAAAGCCAATTAAGCCCGTTTCTTACTAAATCTAATTATAAACCCACAACCAGCCAAAAAGAACAAATAATGGTTGCCAATTCGATATTCACCACCACCACACCGGCGACTACCTGAATTATGCTTTGGTACCCCTCTTCCACCGGCCGAGTACGTGGGGAGTCAGTACTTGGTGAAACAATAATAATCATACTGTCGTACAAGGGCCTTTGTTAATCCGTCAAGACCGTGCACAAGCTGAGAGAATTTAGGTTCTGTTATAAACGTGAAGCCCAAAGAACGCCTTCCTCCCGAGAGGTTTTGGGAGAAGAAATAAAAAACCTTAATAGTTTATGGCCATCTGTATAACCCTCTCCTCGTGGTCCATGGCTCATGTATTACTCTTAGACCCTCTGAGGCATAAACTACGTCCTGAAAAAAGGAATCCCACACGGTACATCATATCCATTCACGAGGACACGGAAGCCTGCTTTCTCAGTTCATCCAGCTCACGTGTAAGATTACAAAGCTAGCGAGAGCAAGGATGACGATGACGATCTTGTTATATATTGATGAGAGTGGGTTAGGTCTTGAGAATCGAGGCCAGTCGGCGACGAAATTCATAAAAATCTTTTTTTTTTTCTTTCTTTTTCTTTTTTTTTCTCCTTTTTTTTCTCTTTTTTTTTTCTCTTTTTTTTTTTTTTTTTTTTTGGGGGGGGGCGGGGGGCGTAAATATCGATGTAGACTTCTGCGCCTGCGCATGCTGTGAGGGTATGTGTGCTACCATCGAGCCTCTCGTACCCCAATAACCTAAGCCCGAGCGTGGAAAATGGCAGCTGGTTGGTTTAGTGCTTCTAGATAAAACATTGATCTGGTTAGCTTCTTTCAATCGCCCTCGATTGGGACGTCCTGAACGTGTACATAGGCATGACCTGACAGGTTTAAGTAAAGCTAGTGAGATCTGACACAGTGGCGGTGTAAAACACCAAAAGCCTCAACTTTAATGTGTACATTTGTGTGCAGAATGTGCTGGTTAGATACATGTAGGTTGCAACCCCAACCTCCCCCCCCCCCCCCTTCCCCTGAGGCCTGTAGAACAAGACAAAATAGTGAACAGAGAGTATGCGAGAGGGAAAAAAAAATATAAAATGTTAAAGCGGTGTGGAGTAGTGATGAGCATTCGAGTATCAATGCTCATACCTCCATGACCATATAGTGTTATAGAATATATAAAGTTATGAATGAATGGGTACGTTGTGATTATCTGAGGTATTTCTCCATTTATGATAGAGCACTGTCTCATAACGGCTGAAATATGCAAAAAGAAATGCCTTACGGGACGGTCCACGTTCCAAAACCCATAATTCTCAAATTCACCGGGCGAAAGGCTCTTCTTCTGTTGGATATTGGATATACGGCTTTTGCCAAGCATCGAGTGACAACCCGTGAACGATGTTCTGTATCTCTTTGTAGCAGCTACAACCAAGCTTAGCTGAGAAAAAGTAATGAGAGCGGGCTAAGAACTTATAATTGAAAAGTGATTTTCAATATGCAAAGGCCAGCATAGGTTCTGTGCGTTGCAACCAGGAATTTGTGGTATTTCTTTTTTATAGAGCCCGTAGAGTACTCTCCTAATACTTGGTCCGGAACGCCCAATGACAACTAGCCAACGATATGCTCCCCACGGTGAGCCACTCCCGGTCCCGAATCTGCGGTAGCGAAATTTTTGGCGTGCTGTGAGTACGGGCATAATACTACAATAACGATAGAGTTAGGGGTGGTTGGATCTCTCGGTTCCTTGGTTAGAGTAGAGTAGCATAGTCATCGGAATAGGGCTTTTTTTCGGGACCGCAGACGGAACACGCTGTACCTACTCTACGAGTATATCCGTACCAATTGAACTACGGACGGATCGCAAATCCGTCGATGATCCGCAGTGGTCTTGCATCGATGCCTAGAGTACCGACTACTCTACTCGTAGTCTCCGGATCCTGGCGTTTTTGGACTGGGCCACTATTGCATACACCCAAAATCAGGATCTTGGCGTATTTTTGTATGGTATGCAATATCAGTCGCGTTCAAAAACGTCAGGAAGTTACGAGTAGGTAGCCGAGAGAGTACAGGGGGGTTTGAGACCAAAAAAGAACTTTAACCTGCATCATTCACATCCTTATGTATGTGCTCTACCCTTTGGCTTACAGTCGCAACTCGATATGCCGGAACTCAATACACCGGATCCCTTGCTGTCCCGTACGAGATCCTCTGAGAATATTATTTTTCCTACTGTAAAATTAATTTGCTATCCCGGATTTTTTGCTATCCCG